CAACTTTGAGTTCAATTCCATTGAAACATTTAATTTTTGGAATACAGAATAATGGCTTTATTCATGAAAAATAAAGTAGGTTTAAAGAGCTTTACAATGTGACGTTTTCATTAATTTTTCAGTTTATAAACCTGTTTTAAAGCTACTTTATTTTTTAATTAACTTCACTTGTATGTATGTATGTTTGTATGTATCTTTGTATGTCCTGGAACTTTGCAGTCAATATTTAACAAACTTCCCGATGAGCTACAGACTTGAAACTTCAAACTTAGCTCAGAACTCGAGGACAATACAATTTAAAAGATGTTTTAAATGAGTTTTTAATGATTTGGTTCGTATTTAGAACATTTATTACGTATATGAAAAGAAATAAATCCGAAAAAAAATTTTGCCGATAGGTGGCGCAGAAGTCGAGATATCTGTAAAACCCGGATTTATAGTCTGATGTGGTTCATATTTAGAACATATATCACTTATATGAAAATAAATAAATCCACAAAAAATTTTGCCGACAGGTGGCGCAGGAGTCGAGATATTTGGAAAACCCGTATTTATGATCCGATTAAGTTCACATTTAGAATGCATATTGCTTACATGAAAAGAAATAACTACACAAAAAATTTTGGCAGTTATGTGGCGCGTGAGTCTATATAATTAAAAATTCGGCATCTGTGCTCAAATTTGGTTTATATTCAGAATAGGTGTATTACCTATTTAAATTGAAATATATTGAAAATTTTGTTTGTTAAGGTCAAATGTAGTATAATATTAACTGCAAGATTTCGAAATACTAAAAAGTAGAAAATAAAATTATAGTTAAAAAACTAAAAACACGCTTTTATTACAACAAGAACTAAAAAGTATAAGATAATTTGTAGATATAGCGATTCCGTTTAAAAAGAATAGGAAGTTCCCTAACCTGATTTAATTTAACTGTTTTAAATTAGCTAAAAATATGATTAAAGTGTTTGACCCGTAGTTATAGTCAAAATAAAGTGCACTGTAAAGTTTGTTGAAGTTTTTTACAGATATCCCATTGAAAGTTATGCCATGATTTCGGGTACCCAATACTAAAAAAAGGATTCGGTACCCAATACTTCTTTATCGGTACCCGATACTGATTCTTTACATTAAACCTTCGCCATTATATGCATTTCAAGTTTAGAAAAAACTTTCATTACTAATTTATATGATATCGGCTAAAACACTTGAACTTATCGCAACAGAGAAATATTATTTTATCAGTTTTAACCTTAGTCGATCCAAGGTTTAAGAAAAATACTTTGACCGATGGAGAAACCTTTCAGGGGGGAGATTCTGTAACCAGTTAGTGACAAGTTTCGGATCGATATCGCACTTGTCGACGTAAAAATATTTCATATCATACGTCAACAAAACCGATACCGATTCGAAAATTGTCGCTAACTGGTTACAGAATCGGCCCCATGCCTACAAAAATGATATCGTCCGATTCAGCTGGAACAAAAATGTCGAACCGACATATATACATCTTTAATTTGAATCAGTATTAAAAGCTCTATTGGCTCCTGCATTCGGGTTTTGATAGGCGTTTTTTCCATATTTTTGGCCTATGTGCGCTTTTATTCGAAACCTAAATGTTTCGGTACCGGGTATCGAGAGTATTGGATACTTAAAAGTATTGACTCAGCACATCACTACTGCTGTCATCTCGACTGTGACGTCAGCAAAACAGCTGATTCCGTCCAATTCACTGAGAGCCGATTAGCGGTGTTGCCATCGGCACCACCTTCTGTATTCTCTCCACCGTGATGCGTACCTACATAATATATACTTATGTATATGAAAATATAAATATGTACATATATGAAAACAAAGAAACCAGCAAAAATAAAGATTTCTATAAGAATCAGAAAGCGACATACACAGCCTACAAATTATGTATCGCGTGCAGGGAAGTCAGGAAAATTCCCCCGATTTACAGGGAATTTCGGTATAGGTGACAATCGGAGATTGGACAGTTTTTTTGCGGTTAATTGAGTATATGTAATGCTGATAACTTACAGAAAAAACATATACACGAATATGTTAATTTTTAACCCTTTGTCGCTATTTGGAGCGACTTTCTTCAATTTGAATCGAAATATTTTCACAACAAGAGTTTTCCCAGGTATAAGCTATATAATAAATGAAAGCTAGGGTTTTGGGCTAGACTTGAAGAAACCTAGTGGCTAAATGAGTTCGGCCGTCCCCCCCTTTTTCTACCGTGAATGGCTCCGTTGAACAGCAGCAACCCTGCCTAATCGCCTACTCACCACGGCCCGTTCCGCCCACGTACACATCCCTGAAGGAAAGATTGGCCCAATTGCTCGAAAAATATAGTCTTAGGTATAGTAGTTTTGTAACTAGACCAAAGCTAGTCCAAAAATTTAAAGCAATGTAATGTAAAACAGGTGAATTGTACTAAAAGTGGTCCGAATGTAATGCATAAGGTACGAGTTTTCACTTAAAACTGGTTCTAATGTCATGCAGTAGCAGACAATGGGTATAATTAACGATTTGCTGATATGTAGGCACTTAGTCAACGAATTTTCATGTGCGGCGTTGGCATGTAGAGAGAGTATCCGCTTAAAAAATCTGAGAACCCCGGTTCGGATCGCAGCTGGCGCAAGTTTTATTTTTTTTCCCCCAAATTGGTTACAATGTAATGCAGAAGCGGAAAATTGGTCCGAGCCTAGGACATTCAATGTTAAATGTAAATAGAATTTTACATGTTCTTGGACCAAACTTTGGACTAGTGACAATCACTTGCAGTCTAGTTTGTGGTGTGCTCTAAGTCTATTCTGAGGTCCTACAGGGATAATATACCTACACACATATACACATACACATGAATTGTACTTAACATTCACACACACATGAATTACAACATAACATGAAACAAAACACAATTGTGCGATTACCAAGCCGGCAAGACGTATTCTGCGCTACAACCCCGCTAACTAAGTTTAATAAAGTTTGTTAACAGTTCAACCAAAAGGTTTTCCAGTTTTATTTAGAAAAAAGGTTCAAAGCTAGTGGTAAGTGTGCCCCCAAAGTGTTAGCCCCTGGTGAAAGATTAACGATGGTCCTTCTGCGCCAAACAGACAGGCATCTTTGAAAATTTAAATTACTAAAAAAAAGGGTGTAAACAGTGAAAAAACACTAAAACAATACATACATAAATATATATGCAAATAAGGGCAAAAGTGAACAAATAGAAAAAAAAACCTTTTAAAAAATTATATAAAATTTAATTGCACGGGCGCGCCGCGTAAACAGAATTTACACAAACCAAAAATTTTGGGCGCGAAAAACAGAAAAATTGATAAATTAATCACTAACAAGTGAAGCAAATCAGCTAGAGCGAGGAAGCGAGGACGCAAAGTCAACGAGGGAGGAGGACAGTATACGGAGCACAGGCACTCCAGAGGACAACATAGGCCAAACTCAACAACACCAACTAAACCCCAAAGTCCTTGAGCATATCAAGGTGACTTGTATCGTTCCACTTATTTACACAAGTATCCTAAATAAAGTCAAAAAAGCGAACTGAGCCCAATTTAATAAAAAATTGTTTTCCTTGTATAACGGCGCTAGTTAATTTACAGCTCCCAGGAAAAATTAATTGCGATACATTATACATATTTATGAAAATCTATTCCCCCTGCCCAAGATATAAAAATATACATACAGTCCACTCAGCAAACTAACATAGCTTAAAAATAAAAGGCGCAAAATTATTTACATAAATGCCCGTCTGTATGTATCGAAATACATACAAAAATTCCCCAAATTAAATACAGATCGCTTTAGAAGCTACATATAAAAAAAAATAATTCCTCCGCTTGATTATGAGCTTAAATTTCGTGTAATAAAACACAAACAGTTATACCGCAAAACATACATATATGGGTGTTTCCAGCGGAAGGTCCACCACGACAAAAAAAATAAAAGTTTTATATCTAACGTATTTACGGGCCAATTTGTCTGCTTTTTAAAATATATATTGGCTATGTAAGTAGAATCATGTTTGCATAAAATGGTCTTCCTAGGTGGTGCCAAGGTCGAGATATTTCGAAAAACCGTATTTATGGTCCGATTTGGTTCGAATTTGGCGTATGTGGTTGAAACATAATAAATCATAGATTTCTAATAAATTGACCCTGAATTGGCGCTGAAGTCAAAATATAAAGTATATTCTACATAAAATACATGTTTTATTTGCGTTGAAAATTCATTTAAAAGCAATATTAACAAAAATATAACGATGGAAATTTATGTCACGTGACGCCACGTCACGTCACGCTTCACACTTGGGGTTGTAAAAGGGAATTGAAACAATTTGCATTAATTCAATGAACTCTAAAAACAACTAGAATTGCTCCAAATCATATTAAAATAAGTTTCATGAAAATAGCCATCCACAATTCGCAGAGTTTTGCGATTTTGTAAGAAAAGAAAAAATCAACTTCCATTTTTTGTCACGTAACGACACTCTCTTTAAATGCTTATATTTCAGGACCAAGCAGTTCGATTGGTATTCCTTTTTTGTATCATATTGAAATCGTACGACTGTCACGTGCGCCACCATGGGAATGCCCATATTCAAGTGGACACTTGCAAATATTTCCAGCAATATCCCTTCTGTTTGTATAACAAAAAGCAAGCAGGATTGCATAAAAAAGTAAGCAACAAAGCAAAATCATAACTAATAAGAACTGGCGGCAAAACAACCAATAACGTATGTACACATAAACATAATACATACGACATAATATTATTCCCCAATTACCTAATACAATACAGCAGCCGGATTCCAGCTTTCGATATCGCTAAAACTCCATCGCCAAAAAATACTAAATGGATTTTAGCAATTTTGGGAGATTTTTGCGATTCGCGCTTAAAAAATCATATCTAAAAAGTTTCATTTTTGGTTCATTTTTTTGGTGGGTTTTAGCGATGAACAAGATGAACCCGGATAAAGTGAGTGAACAGTTTTTGACAGCTCATCAGCTAAAATGGCGATTCCAGCGTCTTTTCCATTGCTACAAATCTCCATTGTTGGCTTAAAATTCTGCGAATTTGGCGACTAGAAAAAGTTGGTGCTAAAAAAATAACGCGACAAAAAAGGTAATGCTTATATTGTTTTTTGTTAAAAATACTCTTTTATATTAAAGAAATTGTTTAATTAATAGCAAAATATGGAAAACCGCAATAGCAAAAGAGTGACGAAGGATCAAAAATATATGCTCGTTCAATATTTGGAGGATCATAGAGAATTTGCTCACGACAGGTATGCAAAACATTTTCCCGTAAATGATTTTGTTTAAGTTTTTTCTTTTTTAAGATTCGTCAATGGCACCGGGAGCAAAAGATTAGCTGAGCAGTGGAACCACCTCGCCGAAAAATTAAATGCTTGCGGAGGATCTATAAAAGATGGTGAAGGATGGAAGAGAGCGTGGGTAAATATGAGGTAAATATGTTTTGAAAATATACATAAGTAGCACTAAGATTCTTAAAATTGTTTTCGATTAATGATAGGAGCAAAGCCAAACAAAAATCCCAAGATTTGAGAAATGCTATGGAGCGAAGCGGGGTAAATTCATCAATTAAAGAAAAGCATCTCAGTAACCTCGACGAGCGCATCATTGGCGTGATGACCACAGTGGCAGTGGTCGGTCAAA